TATGTTATATATGCTTGTTTATAGGATGTATTTCACAATTCAGAGACCAAACAAAAAAACTAGCCAAGCCCATATTGGTAAGCACTGGAATCCCTATTGTCTACCCCTTACCAAGTCAATCTCCCCAGACCTCAGCTTCCTTGGATGTAAGATGGGCATGACGATGTGAGCACCAGGAGGGTGTGGAGTGGTAACAGCAAACACACTGCCCACATGCCAGGCAGGGCTCGTTTTCTCATCCCAGCGGCCTTGTGAGGTGGGAGCTGTTATTACCCTGTCTTACCTAAAGTCATCCAGCTAGTGAGCGGTAGAGCCAGCATTTGCGTCCAGCCTGGCTGCCCTCTTTGTGCTCTCAGGGGCCACAGTATAGGCCCTGTGGCACCCAGGGGAGCTGGGTTATTCCTCTTTCCCACTTGAGGGTCAGCAAAGAGGTAGTGCCTAGCCATGGTCAGGCTGCACAGCTCTCAGGGGCCACAGCCTCCTCCCACTGGGGGCATCAGCACCCCAACCTGCCCGAGATGGCTGCTCCCATCTCTTTCTGGGCTGCAGGACCCCATCTGAGGGAGACAGACAGACTAGCCAGAACGGAATGCTGTCTGTGAGTTCCTGTCCCTTGGAGGGCCTGAGTGGGAGTGGGAGGGCAGGGAAGGACAGGGAGTCAGGGTCCCTCCCAAAGCCAGGACCACCAGGCTGAGGACCAAACCTTCATCTGCAAAGTCCTGGAGGAGCCTGGTCTGGGGCTGGGAGTTGCTCTTGCCCTACCCTGTCCCCCGTTCAACCACAGCCTCAGTTGGGGTGGGAGAAAGGGAAGTGAGGTCATGACATGAGACTGCAAAGTACTGGAAGAAGTCAGAGCTGTGGGGCTCCCCCCAGGCCCCAACAAATCCAAGCCTCAATGCACAGAGAGGGAAACTGAGTTCCAGAGAGGAGAGGGGTTCTGTCCAGGTCACACAGCCAGTCTGTGTTGGGCCAGCACCTAGGAGAATGAGAGAAGAGACAGGACTTCCTTGTCTCATATCCCAACCTGGCTCTCAGAGCTAAATAGCTGTGTCTCCTGGATCCAAGCCAGGGCGTGGTTACAAAAGACTCTGCGTGTGTGTCTGTCTGTCAGTCAGACAGATAGCAGAGCTAAGAGCCAGGGATCCACAGGGATGGTGATATCCACCCCAGCTCACCCTACCTCTGCCTGACTGCCTGCCTATCTGCCTCTCTATTCCAGAGACTTCCCTTACCTCTGCGCCAGGCCTTGGCCTTACCTCTCCCCTGGGCCTGGCCTCTCAGTTCACCTTAACCTGCTTGTCTGACCATCTCTTCTTCCACTCTTCCCTTTTCCCATTCCAGCAGTAGTCCTCCACACTCCCACCTGAGGGCCTTTCAGTGGCTGTTCCCTCAGCCTGGCATGCTCTCTTTCCAGGTGTCCACATGGCTCACTCCCTCCCCCCTTTCAGGTCTTTAAGCAGAGTCACCTTCTCAGTGAGGTCTTTGGTCTTTACAGCCCTAGATGCTTCCTATCCCACTTTGCTACTTTTCCTCCTTAGTATGTATCACTAACACACCATTTGTCTTGCACAGAATGTTGGTTCTATGAGAACAAGAAATTTAGTTTCTTTTTTTGTGCCTATACCCTCTGCACCAAAATGGTGTCTGGCATGTTGTAGAATTTCAACCAACTTCTGCCAAGAAAATGAAAGGGATCTGTGCACAGAAACACTCTGTGACCATGGTCAGGGCTCATCAGAGCCTGACATCAGGATCAGAATCTGCAGGGTATTTTGGATAATGGGCCTAGTGCATCTCTGTGCAGAGCGGTAGCCAGCAGGCAGGTTCTGGATGGACCCACTGACTGTCCTACCTCCAAGGCCACCTCCCTGGGACATGAGGGTGGCAGAAGGCTGAAGTGGTCAGCAAGGGGGATAGGAGAGAAGGAGCCAGAGCCCTTGGACTCACATACACCTCCCACCTGTGACTAAGGCCTTAGGGTCACTCTGCTCTGGAATGCCAGGAATGAAAAAGGCCACCCTTCTCATGTTCACCACGCCACTGAGGCAGAGAGAGGGAGGCATCTGGCTGGGACTTCCAGCTGTGGACCCTTCCCTGGTCACTCCCAGGCCTGGTTTGCTGGCTCAGCTCCTCTCACTTTGAGATGTCAGACATAGTCAAGCCTCTTGACTTGGGGAGGGAGTCAAGCCTCTCCCCTTCATCCCTGGGCCTTCCATACCTATCACTTTCAATAACCTGTTCTCATGCTGTGGTTATTTCTTCATCTTTTAAAACATAGGATACCTGCAAATGAATATATATCACAGTTATATGTTACAAAGCACAATCATTTACAAACCTATAAATTGACCTCCAACTCCAGAACTAGAAAAGTAATAGTTTGTACTACCCAAAGCTCTTCCCCATTTCATCTCCCATTTCTGTCTCCCTGGACGAACCATCCTTTTTTTTTTTTTTTTTAAGATTTTTTTTTTTTTTTTTTAAGATTTTATTTAACCCAATGTGGGGCTCAAACTCACAACTCCAAGACCAAGAGTCACACCTCCACAGATTGAGCCAGCCAGGCACCCCTATCCCTTTTTTTTTTTTTTTTTTTTAAGTAGTTTTATCTGGGGATGCCTGGATGGCTTAGTTGGTTAAGCATCCACCTTTGGCTCAAGTCATGACCCCAGGGTCCTGGGATCGAGCCCCATGTCAGGCTCCATGCTCAGCAGGGAAACTGCTTCTCCCTCTGCCCCTCCCCTATCTCGTGCTCACTCTCCCTTGCAAAAATAAATAAAATCTTAAAAAATAAAGTAGTTTTATCGCACGTGTATGCCCAAAGAATATATTCCTTTTGGCTTGTATTTCAATGATACCCCTGGTGTCATTCTGTATATAGTCTACTGTTTATGCCTTCCACACTTTGTCCGTGTTGTTACAGGAAGCTGTCGTGCCTCAGTTTTCACCGATGTGTCATGTCCTGTTGTCTGTGACTGTATGGCAAGGTAAGTATCTGCTCCCCTCCTGATGGACATTTGTCTTTGATTGTAGGCCCCGTGATCACCCACCTTGCGCACCTCCTCAGTCAGGTGCGCACTCTACACCTCCCAGCCACCTCCCAGCCATGCTCCTAGGACGGTTCACTGACCCTCCTTTCACTCTCCCATGGCCCCCGTGGTATCCACACAACCATGACTTCCTCAATCGCTGTCTTCAACTCTCTTCTGATCTCCAGACCACATATAAGTCATAATTGTTTATTGTGCACTTATTCTGTGCGGAGCACTGTTCTCAGCATAGTACACATTTTATATCATTGAATATTCACAGCAACACAAATGGTAGGTAATACACGATCCCTTTTACAAATGAGAAAACAGAAGCCCAGAGAGGTGGAATAACTTGCTCAAGATACACACCTCTTACCCCCCAAGTCCCACAGGCAACTCAAACTCAACATGCCCACGATGTAACTTATCTTCCTCTCCAAATCAGTTTGTCTCCCATGAACGCTCAGGTGGCACATCTCCAGTGCCCCAGGCCCAAGCCAAAAACTGAAGTCAGCCTGATCGCCAGCGCATCCTTGCCCACTCCTCCCAATCTGAGCCCAAGCCCTGTGGGCTTTACCTCCTCCGTATCTGGTGAATCCCCTTTCTCCCATCTGCTGCTCCTCCTGGATTATTGCCTCTCACCACACCCTCGCAAGCTCCAATCTCCCCCTTTCTCAGCAGCTTGCACACTGCAGCTCAGGCGGGCTTGCTAAATCTCATCTCACCATGTCCCAACTCCCAAAGAAAGCCCAGCCTCCTCGCCTCCATCTCCTCAAACTGCAAAGTGCAGCAACCAACCCCAGAAAGGACAACACTTGTCCTCCACTTGGCTCTGCCTCCTTCTCTGGGAAGCCATCCCTTGCCCCTGCCCCACAGCTGGATGGTGAGCCCCCTCTGAGCCCCACAGCCCCCTCTCTGCCACTTAGCTCCTTCCTCATGATTACCCATCCTCATCAGACTGTGCTCCTCTAAGGCAGAGGCTCAGCCTCATCCACTTCAACATCTCCGTTGCCCAGGCAGGGCCTGCACACAGGAGGTTCTCAGGAATTGTTGAAAGGCTAAATGGACAATGACAGGAACCATGGGTGATGCTTTCTGAGTCCCAGAAAGCCGGGTAATTCCTGCTTGATCCCAGAGTGAGTGGGGATGCTGGCTGCCACCGCCCCCCCAGACTCTATGCCTGTCCCCTGAACCCCATGAAGCCATTTCCTGTCTCTGCATCTTTTGGAAGAACTTCCTTCTCTGCATCTTCCTTCTGACTCTGGAAAGAGTGTAGGAGAGCTCTGGCACTGGTGGCAAAAAGAGGAAACCAACCCTTCACCTACTTTCAGTCTACATTAGACCTTTTCAAGGTGGGGGGTGGTTTTTCCTCCAAAGGTAAGAACATTGATTCTTGGAAGAGGAAGATGGAAAAATCTTACTCTATTTTGTATAAAGCACATATATATATATATATACACACACACAATACTTAAACACATATAGTACATCTGTGGTATTAAAATACCATGTGATTAAGAAAGAAAATGTCTAAAAGGCTTCTGAGGGGAGCAATAATGAAGAAAAAAAAAAGGTTGAGAAACTCGGATCTACATGCTTGGGCCTTGCTTTGTCTGGTCTAGGACTAGCCGGAACTGAGAGAGTCTGGAGTCCCATCCCAGGGAAGCTCAAAGTATCCCCAGAGCTTACCTCCAGCTAACTGTTGTCCTTTCCCCAAAACCATTCCTCCCCTACCCTATGCCTCGAAAGTCCATCATTCTGTGTCTGGCATCCTTTAATCTCCTGTTCCTACTGAGGCCATAGGTCAGCTCTTCCCCCATTCCACCCCAGTTCCCAAAGCTGGAAGGAGTTAGAGACCCCTCAGCTCTGTGCTCCAGCCTTGGACTACTGCATAACCCTGGAGTTCCTGGAAGAATCCAGTAGGGAAGCCCAACCACAGGAGGCACCCAGGAAGTAGGGGTGCCGCTGTGTTGGACAAGGCTTTCTTTATTGGAGTGGGGGGATAGGGTCACAAATAATCTTTCTTAGAATTGCTCTAGGAGGATGGGGTCACTTAAGGGGGGGACAGTTTGGACTGTGGGAGACACAGAAACAGGGGTGAGGGGAGATGTCATGGCTGGGTTTGGCATGGTCTTGGGCAACACAGGTATTCTGCGGTCTTCAGACATCATGGAGTCCTCCAATATGTGGGGCCTCCGTGTGATGGTGGAGCCAATGAAGACCAAGTAGATGATGCCACCTAAGTAGGCACCTAGGAACGGTGCCACCACCGGCACCCACCACCAGTCCCGGGCCCTGCAGGCAAGAGGCAGAGGCCTGCTGAAGGCACTGATCCCCAGCATAGTACCCATGTCCACTCAGGCTGAGACAGAGAGTAGGGCCTGAGAGTCGAGGAGTGACCCCCATTCTAGCCTTAGAGTTGCCCCTGAGCCTGTCCTGGGGCAGGACTGACATTCAGTCTAAGAGCAGGATCTGCATTGGTGCTCATCTGGGGGAAATGGGGTCCCACACCTGTCTCCCCAGGCCACCTGGGAGCTGGGCAGGACTCTCCCGAGCTGCTCCTCACATCACCCCCACCCCCCCGCATGCAGGGCACCCACAAGAAAACGTGCAGGAATGGGCTGGGCAGGGCAGTACCTGAAGACCTGTATACCCCAGCCAGCAATGTAAGTGAAGAAGCGGGGGGGGCAGGTCCCGGGATGGGTTCATGGCATATCCTGTATTCATGCCCAGGGATATGCCAATGACAACAACGAGGATGCCAATCACCAGGGCCTGCGTCCCTTGCAGTGCTGGGTTGTTCTCCTTGTCCGTGATGGCGAAGAGACATAGCTGGAGCAACCCTGTCACCAGCACCTGGGGAGCAGACACCGTGGTAGCCCCCTGGGGCCCCTAGCCAAACCACAGAGCTTCAGCAGTGCCCCCAGCCCCAACCCACAAGCAGAGAGCCCAACCAGAGTTCTTGTCCTTTCTCCTGTGAGGGCTGCCTGCTAGGTGAGGAGGGCTTGAGGAGGGGAACCCACGCTGGGCCACTGACCTCATCCAGGAAGCCTCTCCACAGCGTTGAGTGGTCAGGAAGGTAGGTGGCAAAAATGCTAGCGGTGGCTATGGGGCCAGTCACTGTCAGATGTCCGCCCGAAAATTCGATAATGGCTGCTGTGGAGACACAGACTGAGTGTGAACCTGCCACCAGCTAAACCCCACTGGAGTCCCAGGATTAAAGCTGTAGGATCCAGGGGTGGGGAGCACCTCCAAGGCTTTCTCCCCCAGATGTTTTCGCAGACAAGGACACTGGGGTTGGATCTGCCCATGTTTCAGAGGACGAGGCTGAGGCCAGAGATGGACAACCCAGGGCAGGACACTCACAGTAGAAGAGGCAGTAGATGGTGGCAGCAGCCAGGAAGGAACCCAGAAACTGACCCAGGATGTACACAGGAAACTTCTTCCATGACATGCGGCCTAGTGCACAGTTGGTGAAGGTCAAGGCTGCATTCATGTGGGCCCCTGCGGGGAGGGGCAGAAGTGTCAGAGGTGTGAGAACAGAGACAAACAAAAATAATGCACAATATGAGAGCAGGGCGCCTGGGTGGCTCAGTCGGTGAAGCGTCTGCTTTTGCTCAGGTCATGATCCTGGGGTCCTGGGATTGAGCCCTGCATCAGGCTCCCCGCTTAGCCTAATAATAATAATAACAGCTAGTATTTATGGAATGGATTCATTTAATCCTCACAAAGACCCCACGAGGCAAGGACTACCATCCCCATTTCACCATTGAGGAAAGTGAGAGACTGAAGTTAAATAACTTGCCTAAGTTGACCCAGCTAGTAAAAATGTGGAGCCAGGGGACGCTTATGAAGATTCTAGATTCTGGGCAGAGAAGTTCAGAAGAAAGGGGTTCAGGGTGTTCTCCCTCCCCCGAGGCCAGTGAGTATTGGGTTTGGGTGGACTTAGAGAAGGGGCTGCCTGAAGGTAGGCAGGAAGAGCCTGCAGGGGACACCTGGCCTTGCTGATCAGATGGGGCCCCGGGAGCACTCACCAGAGATGTTCCCTGCCATGTGCACTCCCATGGTGACTCCGAAGCCAAAACCCAAGTTGACACCGAGGAAGCTCCCAAATTTACCTCCTAGAACCATATGGGCCACGGAGCCAAGGCCAAACACCTGCAAGGGAGGGCCTCTGAGGGGATCACCTGCACAGAAGCCCCAACCTCACAGGAGGGCTCGGGCTCAGATTGGGCTCCTCACCCCTATGCCCCAGGCCACCATGTATTGCCGCTGGAGACCCTCTGTCATGCCCTCTTCCTCCAGAAATTTTCCTCCCTGACTTTCCTTTACGATGTGACCAGTGAGAGATAAGTGGGGCTGTACAAGGAGCTGGGAGGAAAGTGGCAATGTGAGGGGCTCTTAAGGACACATCCAGGCCCCTAGTCTCCAAGCCCACCTGATGTTCAGGGTAGGGGTAGGGCTTCAAGGAGGGCATGGCCGGTGTGGATTGAACCCCTCAGAGTATCTTATACTTCAACCTAACCTGCAGGAAGTTTCTTCAAGGGATCTTCAAACTTCTGGCCTGGACTCTGCCAAAACCCCAGCCCCTAAACACATAGTGGCCCCGGGAGCCCAATGAGGTTCTACCTCCTTTGCCTTCAGCAACATTTCCAATGCCCCTGCGTGTCATTTCTGAACTTCTTGCCCTTGCCCATCCGTTAACTGTTGGATCGCCTCAGAAAATAAACCCTACTGACCCCCTTCACAGGAAGATTAGAGGCCTGAAGCTAGGCCCTCACTTAACCTCCTGCAGCTCCCACTGGAATCTATATCCGCCTTCCCCTTTAGCTCTGGTCCTGTGCCTAGCTTCTCTATCCCTCTCCAGTCACTTCCCTCTTGCCTGTATCTTCCACCCTCCCCTTGACAGCTCCCAGAGGCTCGGGTCTCTTCCTTCCTGCCATGGACCCCTGGACACCCCCTCCCTGTGTGGGCCAGGGTCTAGGAAAGACACACTGGCTGGCTCCTTGATCCCTTCCTTAGCTCTCCCTCTTCAGTCTGGCTCCTGCTTCCACATGTCACAGACACCAAAAGTCTCCCCAAGGGCTCCAGTCTCCTGATTTCCTCATGATCCCTTCAGACATTGTCTTACTTGACTTTGCTAACTTTGACCTTCTTAACCACTCTGGGCTTCTGGAAAGTCCCTCTTTGGCCTCCACGACATCTGTCTCCCCTGGTTTTCTCTTACCTCCGCAGCCTCCCTCTCTGCAGTTCCTTCCCACATTCTTCTTCCTTCATCTGCCTCATGAATATGGATGACTCCAGAGCTCCATCCTTGACCCCCTTCATGTCTCTCTCCAGTCACTCTTCCTGGGCCTTCTTACCACGTCTATGGCTTCAGATAAGCCTGATGCACTAAAATGCCCCAAACTTCCACCTAGGAGCTAAATCCCTATCTTCAAATACCTGCTGGGAGCTTGGGTTTTTCAAAGGCATCTATGGGTTTTTCAAAGGTTCTATGTTGAAAGCTCATCATCTCCCAGAAAATGTGATCCTCATCCTATGTTCCCCATCCCAGTCGGCCAAGCCAGAAACTTAGATGTCACAAGTGAGAGCTTCCTCCTCATCATCCCTCACACCAGTCAGCTCTGCCTTCATTCTATCCAGATCTCACCCAGCCTCCTTCTTGCAGCCAGAGTGACCTTTCTAGCAGAAAAATTTGATCGTGTCTGCCCTTGTTCAAACATTTACTGGCTCCCCTCCATTTCTAGGATAAAGTCCAAACTCAGTAGGGCACCATTTAAGACCCTGTATAAATGGTGCCTCTCAGTTTCCTATCTGCTCCAGTGTTCTCTACGTTCAGCAATAGTATTACTACTAAACCATAATAACCACTTATTGATCACTTACTGTGTGTCAGGCACTTGTAAGCAAGTTGTATCTATCACCTCCTTTAACCCTCACACCACACCAGCTTGTGTGTTAGGTGCTCTTATTCTCTCCATGTGACAGATTGTTAACCAAGTCCTAGAGAAGTTGAGCGGCTTGTCCAAAGTACACAACCCTCACGGGGTGAGCCAGGATTCGAATCTAGGCAGTCAGCTATGCCAAACAGCCTCAACACCAAACAACCACACTGCTCCCTGCGTGCCTTGTTTTTGAATGATTCTGTGGTTTAGCATGTGCTGTTCCCTCTGTCTGGAGTTCCAGATGCCAGATTCTGAAAACTCGTTACTCTAAAGCCACACCTGGAAAGCACCTCCTTTGAAAATTCCCTGTGCTTTCGATACGCTGTCTCTGAGGGACCTATACATATCAAGGCTGCTGGAAATGGAAGTCTAGATTCATCCTCCAATATGATGGTCACTAGCTACAGTCAGCTTCTAAGTACTTGAAATGTGGCCAGTCCAAATTGAGACCCACGCTAAGTGTAAATAAAGTACATGCCAGATTTCAAAGACTTAGTAGGAGAAAGAGAATGTAGAATATCTTATTAATAATTTTATATTGATTACATGTTGAACTGGTAGTAATATTTTGGCTATATGGATTAAATGCAATAATTTTTTTGAATTAATTTCACCTGTTGCTTTTTACCTCTTTAATGTGGGGACTAGAAAATTTTTAATTACATATGTGGTTCATATTGTATGTCCCTTGCACAGCTCTGTTCTAGTGTTTTCAAAAAAGAAAGCCTAGAGAATTGTGGACATGGGAGCTCTAGCTGAGCCTTCAGGGAGGATAAAGGTAAGAGGATGGTCGACTGTGGGCTGCGCCATGTAGGTTGGCGTCAGAAACCCCAGACGGAGGTGTTGAAATGGGAGAGGAACAAGGGGAGAATGTGCCCTGGACACAGAGTTTCCCAGGAGGGTGTGGTCCCCAAGGCCACATGCAGCCTCCAGGTCAAGTGCATGAAGGCCTGAAAAGCATCCCTCTGGATGTGACAATCCGGCAGTCCTTTGTAATGTGCTGAGCACGGCATCATCAGGCCATGGGAACAGAAACTGGGTCCCAGAAATTGAGAGGTAAGTAGGTGGTGAAGAAGAGCTGAAGGGTACCAGTGCAGACATCTCTTTGAGAACCTGCCTGAGGAGGGAGGGAGGGGGAGAGCATGATCATTGAAGGGGCTCACGGGGGAAGGGAGGAATGTTTTGTGTTGTGCCGGTTTAAGTAGAGAGACTTCAGCGTGGCAAGGCTGAGAGGAGGAGACGCTCTGCCTCAGGATGAAACAAAGTACCTGAGTGGACTGGAGGGTGGGACTGGTGCCGGAGTGGGGGGCCCTCCATGAAGGAGGCACCCCACCCTCGCCAAGGAGGGGATATGTGGATGTGCAGGTAAGTGGAGCCTGGTGCTGCAGGGACGGGTGGGTGAGAAGCCAGGCGCAGGAAGCCTGCCTGATGGTTTTCTCCGTCAAGCTAGCAATCCAGCCATTTGCTGATTTAAAAAAGCAGGGGGTGGGGGGCAGAGTACAGAGCAGCTTTGGGAAAGCCTGAGAATAAGTGGAATTGCCTGCATAGGGTAAGGGAGAGAGAGTTGAGCAGGGCCACGTAGGTCCCCCAAGGGCTCTAGGACAGGTGCAGGGGAGCCCAGACATAGGAAAACTTAGGCCAAGGGTAGGATGAGGCAGGAGAGGACAGGAACAGATCGGGTAGGGTGTAGGGTGTGAGGCCAGGATGGGCTGACAGGAGGTGCAGAGGCTGGAGCACACATGGAAGGTCTGAAGACCGAGGGTCCAATTTCCAAGCAGGAGCTCAAAACCATTTGCTAAAAATAATGAATGAGTCACTAAACCCCACATGATCTCCTGTGTCAAGGTTGCCAACTGGCAGCCCATGGGCCAGTCTATCCAGAACAAAGGTTTTGTTTGGGTACCTTGGTTTTGACCACCAGAAGTTTCAGGCTCCTTGAAAAATCAGAAGCCCGGGCAACGCTGGCCTGCGTCCCGCCCTGTGTGGCGACAGTCTGCTGGGCTAGTGGCAGAGATGCCTTTGTGCAGGCCGGCACTCTGCCGCTTGCCACAGTCCTCACCGCTCTGGCTTCACTGTCTGGTCCCCCTGGCGTGTACATTTGCAACTCCTTCCTCTCTGGCTCCCGTCGACAACTGCTTTTCCAGGGCCCTAATGGCCCAGCTCCTCCTCTCCCTGGTGGGTGGATGTGGCCCAGCCCATTCCAGTCCCATCGCCACAAGGCCAGTCCTGAGCACAGCACTCTGGGAGGCTCCGGAAGAACAGTCCACGTCCCTCATCCTGGCTGCAGTAAATGGGGCCCAAGGTCACACTAGTTTTTCTGGCAAAACCTTTGCCCTGATGACTCATTGAGCTTCCTATAACCGAAAAAGCCCCCACTTCTCGGCACAGGCCCAACAACCGCAAACAACAACACAATGTCCTATATGAGCTTAAACCTCAGAGTTCTTTTGTAAGTGTTATTTCCCTTCCATCCTCACAGCAGATCTGCCTGGCAAATGTTTCTGCTCTTGTTCTACAGATGGGGAAATTGAGGCCCAGAGACTACCAAAAGCCTGAAAGTAAGGGCCTTACCTCAGCTGGGGGAGAATAAACAAGCCAGAGTGTTGTAAATCCTGCCATAGTTAAGCTAAGGGATAGAGAGTATAGAAACTAAGGGTCAAGGCTGTGATATTAGGTTGGACTGGATTTGATCTTAACTTAAAATGTGACGTTGGATAAGTAACTTAGTCTCACGGAGGCTCAGTTTCCCCACCTGTGAAATGGGGATAATAACAGAACCTCCCTCATAGGAGCACAATGCTTTGCTCTGCGGATTTGAGAAGATACTATATGTAAGGGGCTTGTCATCATCGTGCCTGGCATACAGCTCAATAATAATCTCAAAAAAAGGAAGAGAAACAGGGACATGGAAAGGCATCAGTGCATGTGGGTGGTGCCGGCTTCCCCTAAGAGCTCTCCGAGGAGGTGCCCTCCCACCTCCATGGTTCCAAGGTTTAACAGCCCTCACGAGGCTGGAATGTCTTGTCATAAATGAATGACTTTGCCCTGGATTAAGGCTGGACACCATCCAGTTGCTGTCCTCACTGCTCAGGAGTCAAAACAGGAAGGCAAGTAATGGGGAAAGGGAAAAGCACAGGAGGCGGGGAGGGGAGGGCAGTTGCGAGCACATGTCATGACCAGAGACCAGCACATATGTCCTGCATGTGTACTGGGTGTCTGCCAGCTTGATGTTAGTGTCACGTTTACTGACGAGGAAGCTAAAGTTCTAAAGAGTCAAGACACTTGCAAAAGATCACACATTGAGAAGACAGTAGGACTCAAACAGCTCCACAGCCCATGAAGGTCCGATTCAACAACATGCTTAATAACTGACAGGACAGGGGCGCCTGGATGGCTTAGACAGTTGAGCGTCCGACTCTTGCTTTCGACTCAGATCATGATCTCAGGGTCATGGTGTCGAGCCCCGCATCAGGCTCCAGCTCAGGGGTGGAGTCTGCTTGAGAGAGTCTCTCTCTCCCTCCCCCTCTGCCCCTGCACCCTGCTCATGCTCTCTATCTCTCTCTCTCTCAAATAAACAGACAAACAAATACATAAAATCTTTTAAAAATAAAAATAAAAATAAAATACCTGAGAAGACAGATTCAGTCGCAGAGAGACTGGCTCAGGTCCAGCTGGTGACTCAGTGGCAGAATCAGGATTCTTAGGTCCAGTGTCTCCTACACTTAGTGTCTCCTACACTGTGGCTCAATGCACACTCACACACATACAACTGGTAATACTCCCCCCTGTGCACACACATAACCACATGCACTCAGGCACTCTCATACTCTCTCACCCCCACTTCCACGTTGGCTTTCCTTCCCAGAGCTGCCCCTTCTTTTCATGGACTTGGGGCCTCCATGAGATTCAGACAGGGATGGCTACAGCTTCAGGGCAGAGGCTGACTGCTGTAGGTGGAGAGAGGGCGGGTGTTTCTAAGAAACCTCACATCCCACCTGCAGTCTGGTTTCTGTCCCATCAGCCAGTAAAAGAGACCTTGTTGAGGTCCCCGGTGACCTCCATGTTGCTAATCCCTATAGACCCTTGCCAGCAGCCACTTTCTCTGGCCTGTCTGCAGCCCCCCACTGCTGACCACTCCCTCCCTGTGGGCCCTCCTTTCTATAACAGCCCCCCCTTCTCCTCCCACTTTTCTGACCACTCCTCCTCAGGCTTCTTTGCGTGCTCCTCTTCAGGGTTCTGTCCTCAACTTATTTTTCTCTTTCTGTGCACTCTCACCGAACACTTTTATAACCACCATCCATATTCTGATGAGCTCTAACTCCTTACTTGCAGCCCAGGTCCCTCTCTGGAGCTCCAGACCTCTATATCCAAGCTCCCAGACGTCTCCACTGGCACCTCACCTGAGCACACCCAGACTGACCTTGCTTCTCACCCTGAAGTGGGCCCTGGGCTCCAGAGTGGCCTCCTCAACACTTACCCTCATCTGCTGCTTGCAAAGTCTTGGTTCCTCCACAGCTCCCTCAACTGTGTGCTTTCTCCTCCATCCCTGGACCAGTCATCACCCTCTCTCTATCCTAAGTCAACAGCCTCCTAACTGCTTCTCCTCCCACCAGTTCTGCCAGTTCTGCTAAGGCTCACTCTGCACCCCAGACACCTTCTAAAATCCAAATGTGAACACATCACTCCCCAGCGTGAAAACCTTCCGCACCTCTTCATGGCTCTCAGGATTCTCAAAGTGTGGTGCTCAACGACACTTCTCTCTAATCTCTGTATTCTTAATTTCCCTTCTCTCCAGTTCCAACCATGCCCTCTGACACCTGCACCCCAGCCCATGGCTTTGTTCTTTCCCCACATACTATGATCTCTTTCTTTCCCAAAAAGAGGGCCAGGAAAAGAGAGCTCTCTCTTTACTTTCTTATGCTTCTCCTTCAGGAGCCCAGCTCCAAGGCTGGAGAAGGGATAATGTGACCCAGAGGTCAGTGGTGGGGAGGGGGTCATGGATTTCTTTCACTGAGCCCCACCCTCCTGAGGTCTTGAGGTTCCTGTCCCTCCCTCAGAACCCACCCACCCTGTGCCATCTACCCACTCACCATCATGACATACGTGCTCATGAACTCGGCCAGGAACTCTCGCACCATCTCCTTCTGCATGATTGCTTGCATCCTTGTGATTACCGTGGGCGATGAGACCATCTTGGAGCTGCAGATGGACATGGAGCAGCAGCCCAAGCCCATGGGCAGGAAAGAGACTCGAGTGTACTCGCTGCCATAGGCCCTTTAGGTCATGGCTGAGTTAATGGGTAACCCAGAGGTTACCCACACACACCTCCTCTTGCCCAGGGCAGCTGGTAGAGCTGGGATGAGAGATGACTAAGAGCCACAGGAATGTGGAGAGGGACTGGTGCTAGATGGCCAGGCTAGGTCCCTTCTTTCTTTCTTTCTTTTTTTTTTTTTTAAGATTTTATTTATTTATTTGACAGAGATAGATCACAAGCAGGCAGAGAGAGAGAGAGAGGGAAGCAGGCTCCCTGCTGAGCAGAGAGCCCGATGCGGAACTTGATCCCAGGACCCCGAGATCATGACCTGAGCCGAAGGCAGCGGCTTAACCCACTGAGCCACCCAGGTGCCCCAGGTCCCTTCTTTCTGGAGGGGACTGGACCAGTGGGAAGGGTGCACTAAAGAGGTCATTCTGCAGAGAAGGTAATGGGGAGCCGAAAAGTGCCATCTGTGGTGCCAGTGAGTCCCAGAGGAGAAGCAGATGGGAGAGGGCAGGCAGAAGAGGGGGCTCAGCTGCCCGTCAGTCTGTCTGCCTGCCTGTCTGCAGGAGCCAAAGCTTTGAGAACACAGGCCAGGCATCAGGCAGGACCTGTTAATAGCAAGGCACTTTGCAAACACAGGGTGTGGCAAAGGCCGCTCAGGGCTCCTTAAACACTGAGGCCTGAAACTTGCATCAGGTTCTGCCAGAGGGGAAAGTATCTGCGAAGTACAGCAGGCTCGGCAACCAGGTTGACACAAACAGACTTCTGTGCGTGAATAAAGGAATGAACAAATGAGAGAGAAGAGGGAGGCAAGGAGGGACTGGGTCTTCCCCTCTGGTGTATGCTCACCTGCCCAGCACAGGGCCAAATACAGAGTAGGTGTGCAATAGATATTGTCCACTGAATAAAAACTGGGGAATTCATCTGTTGTACTCTCCGCTAGATCCCCAGAATCTCCTACAGGGCCTGGCACATGGTATATGCTTGACAAATATTTGTTTAATAAATGCATGGTTGGATGAAGAGATAGACAAAAAAAATGAGTTACGGGTCCCATCATCTGTTGGGGGTGGGGTAGAGAGTTCTGGTTTGGGGAAGGAGATAAGGTCTGGAGGCTAAAGAGGAGGAGGAGGGCTACAGAGCCCTCTAAGTGTGGCCTTAGTGCTTGTCAGACTGGTGACCCTGCTCCTGCTGAATGCCTGAAGCTGACCCCAGGCCCTCAACTGCCTCTTCCTCCTGGGATAGCAACATCACCCCCACCGTACCCCAGGCTTCCCGAGATTTCCCCGGCCCTACAGCAGCACAGAATAAGTAATGGGAGTAAGAATAGTAAATCAGGCATGAATAAAACACCTTCCATTTTCCTGGCTGAGACCCTGTGTTTAATCTCACCCACCCAGGTCCTTGCTCTGTCCTCATCCCAGGAAAACAAAACAAGGGCTGAGCATAGGGAGGGCTATATAGAGTCAAGGGACAATTTACCAATGTCCATCCAGCTCCAGCTCCCATGCAGCATCATGGTGGGGCACGGGAGGGGGGGTCTCTTTGCCCCTGTTACCAGCTTCTCAGCCCTGAAGAAGGGCCTGTGAGTAGCTTGAGGCAGGCAGGTACCCAAGATGGTCCTGGGAAAGTACCACAGAGGTAGTGGAGAGGTGTACAGAGCGGGAGCCAAGGACACCAAGAGAACTTTCCAACCGTGGCCCCTTCCTCATTACCACACAGCTGGTGAGACACAGTAAGCAACAAATCACCAACCAGCCACTCACCCAGAGATTTATCAAATGCCTACTACAATCAAGCACTGTCATAGAAAACATTGTCAGGACCCCTGCTCTCAGGAAGAAAAACTCTCAAGAAGAAAAACAATGAAGTAATCACTATAAAGCGTGAGGAGTGTTGCCACAGGCGAAAGGTGGGCATCACTGGATTGCAGGGAGGAAACAAACGACCTCGAGGAGGGGCGTGGGAGTGTCACCCAGAGAAGAGGAAACGGGCTGAGAATGGAAGGCTGGCCAGATGAAGGAGCATCCTGGGAGTCAGGGGAAATTGGGCCTTGGAATGGCATAACAGAGGCTTGCCGCTAAGACAGTGTGTAGATGGACTCCCCAAGGATGGGCTGGCAAGAGAGAGAGAGAAAGAGAGAGAAAGAGAGAAAGTAGCGTGAGGTGGGCAGAGAGGGCACAAGGCCAGATGGCAGAAAGCCTCAGGGCCAGAAGACAGTCAAAATGACACACTTGGTGTTTAGCTAAAGAGGGAAATGGAGAGGGAAGGGTCAGTGATGTCCTCAGCTTCGGGCAGAACAGCAGAATGACAAGTGAGCAGAGGAGATAAGCTGCAGGCTTAGGCAGAGCATGAGGAGTCCCTCCGGCTGTGTGGAGTTTGAAGAGCCTCCTGGACATCTAGGTGGAGATGGCCGGTAATGTGGAGGCAGCTGGTAGTGTCTTATTTACAGACACACATCCAGAGGTCACAGGTGGTCATTTGATCCTTGGGCAGAGATGAGATAGCTCAAGGAAAGGGTGTAGAATGAGAAAAACCGGCCTACAAGCCAAGAAGCTAACGGCCAACCTGATAATTATCTAAGTACCTGCCTATGAAGGAGCTAAATAGCTAATAACTCACCAACCAACCCTTCAACTAACTACTTATCTAGCAACTTGGCCAGCTAACGGAGTCTCCTATTCCCCAGCTCATTTAATGACCTAATCAACCAACCACCTGTAAGCCAGCCGGGCCCCAGCGGTCAGTGTACAAACCGAGTCTCCACCCTTGGATCACTCATCTAGTGGGTCTGATGGTTAACGGCAGCGCCATCAGAGCCGAGAAGCCGGGGGTGGGAGGTGAGGCCTGCAGAGACTTCTGAAGAGTGGGCAGGTGGTGGCCTAATGTGCCTGTGAGGAAGGAGGGTCGAGGGGGAAAGAATGGTGGGAGTGAGCACAGTCTAGATATTTTAGGAGATGTGACCTGATACGAGGCATGGGGAGACAGAAGTATCAAGGACAGGGTCTTGACTTCTGGCTTGAGCAGTGGAGAAAGGGATCCTGGGCTGAGCTGAGGTCACGGGAAGAGGAGTGGGCTTGGGGTATGGAGGCTGTTTTCAACTGGGATGCCAGTGGATCTTTGGAAACAGTGTCTAAGTCCCCAGAGAGAGTCCAGCACAAAGGGGAGCCATTCATTCTGTCTGTGCAGGAGTGCACAGACAAAACTCTCTGCTCACACAGAGCTGGCAGGCAGCGATGAAATGTAATAAGCAAGTACATTTGCATACTATGGGGGTAGTGCCTGGGTGGCTCAGGTGGTTAAGCGGCTGCCTTCGTCTCAGGTGGTGAATCCCGCGTCAGTGTCAGTGTCGATGCTCTGCTGAGAGTCTGCCTCTCCCTCTCCCTCTGCCCCTCCCTCCATTCCACTTGTGCTCTCTGTCCCTCTCTCATAAATAAATTTTTAAAAAATCTTAGAAAGAAAGGAAGGAAGGAAGGAAAGAAAGAAGGAAGGAAGAAGGTAGTATGGCCTATGGAGAAAAATAGAGCAAGGAAATGGGGTGGGGTATGATTTTAAGTAGAGCAGTTGGGGAAAGCCTCATTGAGAAGGTGACAGGAGGAGGTGAGGGAAGAGCATTGCAGGCAGAGGGGGAAATCACTGAAGGATTCTGAGCATATTTGAGGGAAAGGAAAGGAGGTCAGTGTGATTGGAGTGGGAGACAGCAGGGACAGCATGGGGGAAGGTCAGAGAGGAAACCAGGACTAGAAGGGCAGGCCCTGGGCCGTTGCAAGGACCTTGGCTTTTATTGTACCCAAAAGAGACTTGAGCCTGCGAGGGTGAGAAGCGGTGAGTTCAGTTCTGTTGAGCACCACCTACATAAAGGCAGCTGGAATCCACTCACCAACTCCTTGGCCCTCACCCAGTTCTTTCTCAGCCTTCTGTCACCCCAGGGCCCAGCCTAGGGCCCAGGAGGGAAAGGCCCTTCTTCTAAGCCTCTTGACCCAGCGGGGAATGGGAAGGAGGGGGGTTGGGGAGGGTCAGCTGCCATGAGGGAGAGGCAGAGAGTAGGGGTGTGCAGGTGGGTAGGGGATGAGAGGCTGGAGGAGGAAAACGAGTAGGGTACTTACCTCCTCTTCTTATCTCTTCGAGCCATGTTCCGTCTTTGAGAGTTTTAGATGCTGCAGAGCCAAAGAGAGGTCATTAGGGCTAGGGGGCACAGAATTTGGCCCCACATTCTCATCAGACCTCAGTCTCCCAGCGGGGAAGACACAGGGACAGGTCCTGCCAGTCCCAATCTCTCAACCAGCCAAGCTGGCAAGGAGGGGTGTGGCTGTGCTTCAGCCAATGGGGAAAGGCCCTGGAGTCCCACCCCCTCACCCTTGCGGGTCTGGGGACCCCTGGACCAGGCTCTTCACAGGTCCTCCAGATTTCCCCAGGTTGCCAGCTTGGGCAGTGGAGATGCCCACAGCCTCCCCTCAGTGGTGCCACCCTCACATATCTGGGTATTACTGCCTTGAGTCTAACCTCAAGCCCTCTTGCTGCTGACTTCAATTCTGATTTTCCAGGGCCTTTTCCTCGAGTACACACACATACACACACACACACACACTCACAAGTGAAGTCTTGAGAATTCATTTAGTCCATAGTGCCACCTCAGAACAAAGTCCACCCTCTTACCTTTCCTGAAAATTCCCCAGCGTATCCCCATTGTCCACACAAATGACCTCACAGAGGTAACCCTTGAGTTTCCCCATTCTGTAAGTCCCCTGGTTCTCTAGCCAGATTCCCTGTAGCTGCAGCACAAGGTCACATCCCTAGTCCTGACTGCAGGACCCTGCAGCCCCCAGCCCCAGCTCCTCAGGAGGGAACTCCCAGGGGAGAAACCACTCCAGCTAAGCCAGCAATCAAACCATCTCTCCGATCTGCATGCCTTCTACTTTGGTCCAGGTCTGGTCTGCCTGCTCTCCTTCTTCCTTGGCCAGCGCTCTCCTGACACCCCAGCCCTACACGGCCTCCCGGCCTCTGCGGCACTGCTGTTCCTCCCAATAGCCAAATTCTAGGTAAGGAAACTAGAGCCCAGAGAGAGCGTGGGACATGCCTGTGTCACACAGCAACTCAGGACTAAACCAGAACCAACATCCTGGCTTTTAACTCCCAGCTGGAGTTCCTTCCCCAGCTAGTCCCATGGTCATCTCTCCCCGCAACCATATGTCCCCCAGGAAGTAGCACTGAGGCTTGAGCCGATGGCGAGGCCCCCTGTTCCAGCCCTGCCTGGAACACAACTCACTCTACTGAAAGGCCTTATGTTTCTCAGCATCCACCCTGGCGGCTTCTCAGTTACAGGAGGTCTTGGTCTTGTTCCTCCATGACTGGCCCGGGCTCTGGCTGCACCCCCGGCTGGGACGCCACTGTCCCTGTGTCCCCAGCCTAGAGCCCGCCTCTCGGCCCCCCCTTGGGGTGGCCCCACGTGCTGCTTTGCTCTGCTCCTCTAGGGGAGAGGTCAGTGGGGCAGGGGTTTGGCCTGTGCCACTTGGGCCAAGTCCAGACACACTGCCTAAAATAGCATCCCCTCTCCTGCCAGCGGCGCCACGGAGACCAGGTTCTAAGGCAGCCCTTGTGAGGTCAGAGGTAGAGCTCAGGATGGGTCCCAGAGGAAGGGCCTGTCCTCCAAGCCGGGTGTCCACCCCAAAGCCAGAGCAAGTCCTCCCGGGACCCCAGACCTGAGGGAGGGCACAGAGGCTCTGGAGCCCCTGGTTGTGGGAAAAGCTGTGCAGAATGGGGACTGGAGATGGGAAGATCTGGAGATCAACAGCCAGGTAGAGGGGTTGGGGAGGAGGCCTAGTTCAATCCTCAGGAAACCCCCATTCTGGAGAAGGAAAGGGAAACTCAGGCCCCTCCCCGTCTCAGGGGAAGGAGGACACATAAGCCATGTTAGCAGGGAAACCCCGCTCTGAAAAGGGAGACAGAGCCAAGCCTAGTCTTCTGGGGTCCCTCGTCTATTGGCAGAGAGAAGCCTGGGCCACCTCCTGGGAACCCCCATCTGAGCAGGGGAAGGGAAAACCTATGCCCCATCTTCAGGAAAATGCCTCCCTTGGGAACAGCAAGCAAGACCTCTGTGAAGGGGCCAAAGCTGGACCAGAGTATGGGGCCCCAGGGCAGAGCTACAGAAACTTAGTGACTAAGGTGGGGTCAGGAGTGAGCTAGGGGATTAGCTGCCATCTGAGTGGACTTCTGGAGCCAGGGCATTACTGGGCCTCCAAGGATGGGGCATTGTGGTGTTTGAGCGGGTGACTCGGGTTGAGACACGGGGAGTGGCTGCTGCTCTGCAGACTGTGAGGAGACCTGCCAGGGGGAGTGGTGGGCAGTGGGCAGTAAGTCCGGGAGCACTGAGGCTGGTGGGGAGGCCATATAGGATTGGGGTGCCCAAAGCTAGCTCTGGTAACAGAACTGTCCTCTAGAGGGTGCCAATAGACCAAGCCAGGTCTGAACGCACATTGTCCGTGTCCCAACCCCAAATTGCCCTGCAGGTCACTCTGCAGGGAGAGGCAGGGGCAAGCTGCAATCTGAGGGCTTCCCGGTCAGAAGTTGTCCGTAAGGAGCAAACTCTTCCACTGCTGCCCCCCTGCAACTGAGGCTCTGCCCCTCACTCCACTCTGCAGACTCAGGTGGGCTCAGGATAGTAACTGCTTCTTTCAGGAAGGGAGAGATATAACCTTTGGACATATGAGACACCTGCCTTTATTCCTTTCTGGTGTGTACTGTCAGGGTCAGAGTAAGGTAAGGGTCAAAAGTGAAGCTGGGGTCTTGGATGAGGGCAGTGCTTGGGTGGACCTGGATTGGGCGGGGATCAAGTTGGTGAAGGAGGGACTCAGGATCCATGTTCGTTAGTCAGGGATCGAGACCCTGGCTCATTTACTGGGCGAGGTACTGGAGACCCAGATGTAGAGAAGACACAGTCCTGTCTGTCTCTTGGGAGAGATGGATAAACAGCAGGTGACACAGGAGACGCCGCGATAAGGTGGACGGAATATAGGCAGCAGCTAAGCCAGCCTGTAGAGAGGCAAGAATCATCTGGAAGAGATGACAGGGAAGCTGAGTGCTCCAAGGTGAGTGAGGGAGGGAGCGGTGCTGGTGGTTATGTGAAGCCATTTGAACCCCAGAGGGGTTATGAGAAAACCTAACACATTCTGTGAGTGGCTTGCAGAGGGCTAGAGAAGTGGCTCCATCCTGCCCCTGGGCCTCTGTTTCCTCACCTGAGAAATGGGGTGGGAGGATATATGGTCCCTCCCACCCAGGCCCAAGAAAAGGTTTATGGAGGCACAGTGGCCCAGTAAGTAAGAAACAAATTTAGTGGAAATATAAATGGGTTGAAAATGAAGTGGTAATATTAGTGTGCTACAGGGCAAGTTGTCAAACGGTGATGTACCTCTCAGCATTTAGTCCCTCTTGAAGAAATTTAGTTTTCTTATTCTCATTTTGTCTGCAATACATTTTTTCTTTTGCTAGTGAAAATTTGGAAATAGCCCAGTGCTCATCAACCTTCTATTTCTTTTTTTTTTAAAGTAAGCTCTAAGCCTAACTAACGTAGGGCTCAAACTCAACCCCAAAAGCAAGAGTTGCATGCTCTACCAACTGAGCCAGCCAGGTCCTCTCCACCTCCTGTTTCTTACTCACTACACTAAAAATCTTACAATGTGAATTGGTAATTGGGGACATTAATGTTCAACCTAACTGAAAATTTAAATATTTATGAACACATAGCCAAGCAAGTCGAGCAGATATAATTGTCTATCATTGGAGTGGAAATTTTTTTAATAGAAAACAAATAAAAAGAATCTCAGATACTTTTCTTTTATTCTGTTTTGAACTAAAATACAAACAAGCCAAAGAAAACTTAAAAGACCCATTTTCCGTCTGTGACAACTATTACTAACATTTTGGTAGATTTCCTTCTAATCCTTTTATATATACACATATCCCCTTCCTACTTGGTCAATAATAAGTAGAATGAAACTTACTTTGTAAAGGCCTTTTTTCCCCTCTAACATTATTGAGACTATCTTTCCATGCTAACAGGTCTATATCCATATCTTGTATGTGACTATACAGGACACAACTGTCCCCTATTTTAAATGTTTCCCAAAAAAAAATAAATAAATAAAAAATAAATGTTTCCAATTCCTCCCTATTAGGAACAGCATGGAGCAGATACAAGAGGCCAAAATCCAAAATTAGGAATAAAAATGCAAATAAAAATTTTTAAAAATCAGAATAAGGAAAGAAAACTGCCAAAAGATGTTAAAACTTCTCTGAACTTTCCCCAAAATATCCACCAAAGTGTTGATGTGTAAAAAACCTAATCATTTCAGCTAATTATTTGTTTCAACCAATATTCTATTTGATTAACTTATCACACAAACTACTTTCAGTCAAATTGTTTAAGGGGGTGCGTGGGTAGCTCAGTCCATGATGCATCTGCCTTTGGCTCAGGTCATGATCCCAGAGTCCTGGGATTGAGCCCTGCATTGGGCTCCCTGCTCAGCAGACAGCCTGCTTCTTCCTCTCCCTCTGCCTGCTGCTGCACTTGTGCTCTTTATCTCTCTGTCAAATATATAAATAAAATCTTATAGATTTTATATATATATGTATATATGTATATATACACACACATACACACATATATATATACACACACACACATATATATATATAACTATAGATATTTTTATTTTTAAAATAACCAAATTGTTTTACGCTTGGGGTTTTTCAGACTCTTTGAGCCACCGAATACGGTGTATAACTTAGGAGCCTGTGTATCAATCAGTAAGAAAGAAAATGTTCTGGCTGAAGGAGCGGGGATGGCTGTGGGAACACAACGTGCGTTCTTCAAGGGACCCTGGTCTCTCTGAAATCACCTGAAGTCATAAAGATTCTCCTTCTGCTCTAAAAAGAAAGGACCCTTAAGTCTCACCCAAGTAAGTGTCACCTTTCAAACTCTTGAGATAGGGAAACTGAGATTCAGAGCAAGGTAACAACTTGCTCAAGATCACCCAGACCTAGAACATCCAGATCAGGGCTCTGTCCCCTGCCCTAGGAGGCCAGGGCCCCCTATCTAGGAGAAGCAGGGGCTAGGTTGGGGAGGGATAGGGGCACAAGCACGACCCAGGACAGCATGTAACCTTGACCTTCTCCAATGACCAGACTCCCCCTCCCACAGCCCAGCCTCTCATCCTTTTCAGAGTCCTACGTGGGTGTCCAGGACAGAGGGAACAGAGACCGGTGAAGATAGGAGGCACAGCCACTGGCCCAAGGACAAACAAGGAACCAGAATTCAAAAACAAGCCTGTTCCACTCTAAGGCCTATGTCATGTTGCCTAATTTAGCATCAGAAACCAGGCACAGAGCTCAGGCCTGCTACTTCCCAGTATGAGCTAGAGCTATCAGGGAGGGCTTGTTAGTGGAGGCAATCTCACTGACAGAATTTGGAGGATGATCCTGAGGGAATTTGCATGTGTGAGAAGCATTTGTGTTTTTGTGTATGTCTGTATGTGAGCATCTATATGTGTGAATGGACAGGTGTGTATGTATACCTACATATCTGTGTCTGGCCTTGCATGTGAAAACCTCTGTGGGTACACACGTACACACGCACACACACACAAACACACGGAGTCATGCACACATTTACATGTGCCCATTCCACTGGGTTAATATTTTCCTGCCTGCGTCAGCCCAGTCCCAGTCAGCAGGCAGCTCACAGCAGGAACGTGCCCTATCTGATCTGGTCAGGAGCTGGGGGCCTGGAACAGGGGGCTCAGGGTGGCAGGGAGCCCATTTCAGCTCCCCCAGAGAAAGCTACTCTCTCTCTACTCTCCTGCTCTGCCTGAGAAAGGAGTCTGGCCCAGAGGCCAGGCAGCTCCAATGTGAGATGACTTCCCTATCTCCCAACTCACAGTAGGGACTCCCGAGGGGGCAGCCTCCCTGCCTGCCTCCCGAAGGGTAAAGCCAGCTGCTCCCTGAGTTACCTCCTGCCTCCCTCACCTTTGCCCAAATCCTGAGGCCTTTCCACACACAGACGTGCCACTGAGGACAAACAAGGGTAGAGACCCTAAGGAAATGCCCACAGGGTGCCCCCCCTTCAGCAGGAAAGTAGCTTTGAAAATGACTGAGTTAGCGTGTGGGAAGGGGGGGTTTAATTTACAGCTTTTGGGGCACACAGTGATTGCACAAAGAGCCTGTGCATAAGTCTATGTGGGCAAGACCTAGGGCACAGGCACCCACAGGCACTGAGCCTCAACCAGGAAGGCACAGTGGAACACGGAGACCCCAGGCGGGGTGGGGCCTCCCAGTTCCCAGGCATCTCCCAGTGTCAGTGGAGGGTCTTCCCAACCCTACCCTGGTCCCCGGAGT